TTCAGGAAATTCTATCTCATACATAAATCAAAACGCTAGTTGTAACTTGTTGGAGTAAGCGAAAATTTTACTCAAACGCCATCAACGTGGACGTTGAACAGTTTTCAGAACAAAGTTGATTTTGAATTTTCTTTATGTGTGCCAATTTCAATCAACAGAAACTTTATCCGAAAGAAAACGTTCTTTTTGTCAATCTGGTCATTATCTTTAAAACGAAATGAGAGATGTGCAGTAGCTATTAATTAAGTGGCGTGATCATTGGATGCAAGCTGTGTACTATCTTCCCCACCGTGTTAATGTGGAGAAAAATCAGAAGTTCATTCTAAAATGCAGTCATGACGAGTTCAGTATGTGGTTCTGTGTTGGAGAGGAGTAGGTTCATGCTTTAAGATTGTATTGTAATAGTCGCACTGGTGAATTTTAGTTTTGTTTCAGATCATTTGAGAGGGTCTATTGCAACTGCCAGTTGCATACAATAGCAACCAGACAGACGATATATTCAATGAATGAGTTACTTGAAAACGAATCATTTCGCAAAGAGATTAAGTCTGTGAGTTTTTTGCTCCAAGAAGATTTTGTTATGTTTAATATATTTTCGCCCCCAGAATTTCTATTTTGCCGCTTCACATCTAATCACGTCCCTAAACTTCTCCTCAAGCTTGCTTTGCAGTGTACTACAGAAATTGGAAGTTAAAGGTCGTAGTGCAGGCAGGCTACGGTATCCAAAGCTTGCGTATGAAGTCATTTTTATAGGCAAGATCTTAGACGAGTTTGTAGTTTTGACCGCCTAGTGTTCGAATTGTCTTTCACTCCTACTAGAAAAGGAGCATTTTTCAAGCACGTCTGAGTCTTTGACAACTCTTTTCTTCTATCCCTCTAGGGCCAACTATGTGAAGTCATGTTGTGTAGCTCACCAAATTGGTTCCATAAATCAGCTAAAATTTAGGAGATCTAAAATGGAGGCATGATTGGATGAATCCAATTCATTAATCCTCATTCAATCGTTCTGATAAAAAAAGTCGATTAGCTTCTATTTTTCAATTTTAAGATTTGT